GCATATGCTTTTTTCAGCAGTGAAGCTAAGGCAGTTTAGTAGTAAGATATTAGTGTTTTAAACAATCCCTACATAAAAATAACACAAATGGATCATAGACCTAAATGTCATCTTTTCACCTTGAATTTGGTTAAGATTTTTTAGATAAAGCATCTAAAAGACAAAATTGATAAGTTGAGTTGGCTTTCATAAACAAATAAAAATGTTACTTTGAAAAGACACTAAAAAGGAAAGTAAAAGGCAAATCACAGTCCTGGAGAAAATATTCTTAATATTTTGAGAGGAAAAAATATATAAAATATAATTTGGGGTGGCTACTGGGGATTGAACCTAGGGGTACTTAACCATTGAGCCACATCTCCAGCCCTTTTTATTTTAATTTTGAGACAGGGTCTCATTAAGTTGGTGAGGCTTGCTAAGTTGCTGATCTTGAACTTGAGATCCTCCTGCCTCAGCCTCCCAGTCACCGGGATCACAGGTGTGCACCACCATACCCAGCATGTGCGAACTCTCGCTCTCTCTCTCTCTCTCTCTCTCTTTCTTTCTTTCTCTCTCTCTCTCTCTCTCTCTATTTATCTATATTTTTTTGATAAAGGTCTTTTATCCAAAATATATGACGAACTCTTATTATAACATAATAATAAGACAACCAGTTTAAAATGGCAAAAATATTTGAATAGCTATTTTCTTTTTTTGGGTGACAGGGATGCTTGACCACTGAGCCACATCCTCAGGCCTTTTTATTTTTTATTTTGAGACAGTTTCACTAAGTTGCTTAGGGCCTTAATAAGTTACTGAGACTAGCTTTGAACTTGAAATTCTCCTGCCTCAGCATGGCTTCTAGCTTGAACAGATATTTCACAAAAGAAGGTTTGGTAAATCCATTAGCACTGAAAAAGTACTCTTATCATTAGTCATCAGGGAAACAGATAAAAACTACAATGAGATACCACCACCACATGCATTAGAATAATTAAAATTAAAAACACTGACTGCGGTGGGTGGGTAACTCTTGCCTAGCCTGTATGAAGACTTGGGTTCCATCTCTAGCATTGAAAAAAAAAAAAGAAAAAGAAAAAGAAAAATAATAAAAATAGATGGATGTGGTGGCACATGCCTATAACCCAGTGACTTGGGAGGCTGAGACAGGAGTATCACAAATTTGAGGCCAGCCTCAACAACTTATCAAGACCCTTTGCAGCTTAGTTAGATCCTGTCTCAAAATAAGAAAATAAAAGGTACTGGGATGTATGTAGCTCAGTGGTAAAAGCACCTTGGGTTCAATCCCTAGTATCCTCCAAAATTAATAAAAATTAAATTAACCCATTCTGATAGTGTGAAGCATCAGGAATTCCCATGCATTGGTATGGAGAATGCAAAGACTTTGGGCAGTGGTGTTTTTTTTGCATTTAAAAAAATTATATATTTTTTTAGTTGTAGATGGGAACAATATCTGTATTTTTTTTTTAACTTATTTTTATGTGGTTCTAAGGATCGAACCCAGGGCCTCAACATATGCAAGGCAAGTGCTTACCCTGAGCTACAACCCCAGCCCTTGGCAGTATTTTTTTTTTTTTATGTTTTTTAGTTGGACACAATACCTTTCTGTATTTATTTATTTATATGGTGCTGAGGTTCAAACCCAGTGCCTCACAAGTGATAGGTGTGTGCTCTACCACTGAGCTACAGCCCCAGCCCTTGGCAGTATTTTTTAAGTTAAATATACACTTACTCTATATGACCTGAGGGTTCTTTTGTATATTTACCCAAGAGAAATGAAGGCATATGTCCACAATGATTGTGATTATTTGTAGCAGCATTATTTATAATTGTCAAAACCTGGAAGCAATCCAAATATCTATTAACTGGGTAGATAAACAAATTATGGTATATATATATGTGTGTGTGTGTGTGTGTGTATATACAGAAATGTATATGCACATACATGTAGACACTACCTACGTACATAAACATAGTGGAATACTCAGAATTATGATACATGCAGCAATATGGATGAATCTCACAAGTACTAATGCTAAGTTAAAAAAAAGACATATAAGTACATAATGTTTGAGTCCATTTACATGAATACTATAGTGACAGGAGGCAGAAATCGAGTCAGGCATGATGGTACACACCTATAATCTCAGCATTTTGGGAGATTGAGGCAGAAAGAACACAAGTTCAAGGCCAACCTGGGTAAATTAACAAGAACCCATCTCAAAAGAAAAATTTTTAGCAGAGGGCCAGGGAATGTAGCTTAGTGGTAGCACTCCTGAACATCTCCTGTACTAGAGGTGTGTGATGGGGAAGCAAAGATTAATAGTTCCTTAGGACCGGGGATTGGAGGCCTTATCACATAAAGACATGAAAGAATTTTTAGTATTGAAGGAAATATTCTACATGTTGATTGTGGTAGTTGTTACATGAATGTATACTTTTGTCGAAACTCACCAAACTTTACTGGTCAAATCAATGAATTTTATTTATTTGACTCATTAATTTTTATCTTTATTTATTTCTGCAGTAGGGTCTCACTGTGTTGCCTAGTCTGACTTCACACTCCTGGGCTCAAGCAAATCTCCTATCTCAGCCTCCTGAGTAGTTGGTATTGCAGGTGTATGCCATCTTGTCCAGCTACTTTTATTTATTTTAATGGGCAGATTATGACTCAATAAAGTTAAG